GCAGGGCTCGCTCCTGTCCTCTTATTACCCAGGGGCTCCATTTGCTCCCCCCGGACGCCTTTTCCTTTCCAATTGCCTCTCCGGCTTCAGTTCTTCGGATTTCCGCCGTCACGTATTCTCCCGCCGCTCTTCCTACAGCAGTGTTTCTCAACCTTGACAATTTTAAGGCATGTGGACTTCAACTCCCAGAATTCCACAGCCAGCAATGCTGGCTGTGGAATTCTGGGAGTTGAAGTCCACATGCCTTAAAATTGTCAAGGTTGAGAAACACTGTCCTACAGAACATGGCAAGATCCTGCCAGTCTGCCCAGTTCGAGCAGCCGCAACGCCTCCAAGCGGGCTCTGGAGCCTGGAGACCCCAGAGGGCTGGGCGCGCTTCGGGCAGGCTGAATCCCGCCCTCCGGGGCCCCGAAATCCATCTCCCGCTTCCCTTACCAGCAGTCCAGCTCGCCACTCCAGCCCCTCCCTCCCTTCCTCACCCCACCCCGCGGGCAAGGAAACTTCCCCATCCCACGATGAGGAGGCGGTGCCAGCATCCGGACAGGCGTGGAACCTGACGAATGGCAATCTATAAAAAAGAGGGCTTGGCTCTGCCCCTTTCCTGGAAGAAAACTACTTCGGCTAACTGAAGCTCGAAGAGAGGAGGGGGAAAAAAAGATTCCACGTCGTAGGATCGAGAGCAGGTAGAGTGGCTGTCTTTGCTCTTGAACGCCAACCGGCCTCTGTGTTTGCCTGGCTGGCGTGGACTCTTGTCTTGCGTGGACAAGGTGCAGGCAGGGTGGACCTGGGGACACGCCCTGAGGCTCCTGGAACGCGGAAGGCTTCGGAGTAGTTACCTAGCATCGGGGCGCCGGAGGAAAGCGCTGCGATCTCTCTTGCGAAGTGCAGGGGGAAGGCAGGGAAGAAGGGCCCTCTCGGCCCCTGATACCAGCCCCCTTTCTCGCCCCGTAAATGGAAGAGGAAGGAAGGCTCTGACCGCTTTCTCACACTGCCGCTTCCTCTAAGTCAGGGGTAGGCAACCTTGGCTCTTTTATGACTTGTGGACTTCAACTCCCAGAATTCCTGAGCCAGCGATGCTGGCTCAGGAATTCTGGGAGTTGAAGTCCACAAGTCATAAAAGAGCCAAGGTTGCCTACCCCTGCTCTAAGTGCAAGTCAGCGAGCTAGGAAAGTCACTGCTCGCAAGTGACATGTAAATACGACCTGCAAGCGTTCACACCTCCGCAGTAAGAAAGTGAAAACGCTCTTTCGCAGTAGAAACTGGTCCGTAATGTGTTTGATTTTTGTCTGGGATCAAAATGTGTGACCTGAATCGTTGTGCTTTTGTAATTGGTGGTTTAGCTCGAGCATATCCACCAAGCGGTGCCCTACATAGCAGTTCATGGTGAAATAAATTATGGCTTAGTGGCATTTGAGAATCCTGTCATAGTGTTGGTCTAGGATTGGGGAGAAATGAGTTCAAAATTTCCACTTGCTTATGGGGTAGTGTCTTGGCCCACCAGATGTTATAGATGCACTGTATAAAATGACAAGAAATTATGTGCAGCACCTTGAGCTTCTGGAGGAGATATATATAAAGTAAAAATAGGTTTTGCCCTAGGACTGAGTCCAAAGCATTTTTTTTTTACCAGTAAGAGGCTACAAATATTCCATGCATCCTTGCTGGGAAATAAATCTCATTGAACTTGGTGGAAGCGACTTTTATAACCAATTTTCTGAGTAAGCAAATGCCCTGAACCTTCAGTTAAGATGCCCCAGTCTGCAGAGTTATGAAGAATCACAGTAAGGTTAAAACTAAACAGACTTAGCATATTATGTGAATTTTCTAAGCCAGTCTTTCTCAACCCTGGTCATTTTAAGATGTGTGAATCTTAATGCTAGGCTGCCAGGGGAATACTGGGAATAAAAGGCCAGACATTTTAAAGTGACCAAGGTTGAAAAATAGTGCTCTAGTAGGCCTTTCAGTAGTCAGGTTAATCTTCTAATTGGATATAACTGGTGATATGGGTTATATGGCTGCAGTACCAATTGAATTTGGCAAAAAATAAAATGTTATTTCTGAATATATGTGCTTAGAAAGAGCATACTGTGCTTCTGTGTTCCTTATGCGGGGGGGGGGGCTGATCCATAAACTGGTCAAACTAGCTTTAGTTTGCATTTTTCAAATCTAAACCGTCTGCTGATTTTATTGTATGCCATGTATCTGCAAATCAGCTTTAAAGCTGGGGTTTGTTTGTTTGTTTTTTGCAGTTTTTACATTTTTAACAATTTTTGCCATTACTGTTCATGGTAGTTGGGGATGAAAGGAGTTGTAGTATAATATACTTGGAGGGCATCAAATTGAAAAAGGAAACTCTACAATTAAATAACATACCCTCTTGGCTGAGATGCACTTTCAGTAAATTTGAGTGTGCCTCTTGTGATGTTTATGCTGCAGTAGTGTTGCCCCACATCAGACAACAAAATGAATGTATGTTACCAAAAGGACCCTCGTAGCATTTTTTGGACTAACTTTTTTTTCCAAAGGCACAAACTTTGATGTATGGGAGTTTTGCAGTCTCAAGCTTGATTTTGCTCTTAAAAGTTTCTTTTTTCCCCAAAGGGGATATTGATATCTGTAATGGAATGTCTTAGGAGATGAAAATGCCCTGACATTTTATGCATTTAAATATGTTCTTCTGAGAAGGGATCCTTAAATTTCATGAAACTCTCAGTGGGGTCCACAGCACAAAAAAAGTTAAGAAGCCTTGATTTGGGGTGTTAACCTGTTTAATAGGTCCTTCCTGGGACCTGATCTACCTTTGTTGCATTATTGTTGTTGAAGTTGCATATATCAGATTTCACCTAAGAAAGTGTTAATAAACACTTTCTAATTACATGGGAAATGTGGCACTTGTAATCTGCCACCTGTATTTAACTTGCACTAGCATAACCACTTTGTCTTCCCCTCCCTTACTTTAATATATATCTCCTATCAGTTTAGCCACTGTATGCTTCTGGTGAAATGTGATGCATCTCACAATAGCTAATGCCTTTTAACAGAATATATTAATCTGAAAAAATGCCTTTTTCAGATTTCAATTTTCCTTCTGATTATTGGCCATCACAGACTAACACGGATCTCTTCCTAGTAAGTTACACCCAGTTTAACATTTTAGTTTAAGTAATGGCTCTCCCTATGTAAGCTGTCTCTTGGTTTAATGCCAAAAAACAAAGAAATCAGATCTTTTCTCTGATCCCTCTCTGTAAGCAGCAAACAAAAAAATTATCCCACTATCTCAACTTCTCCCTAACTTGCTGTCTACTGGATATTCTGGACTATAACTTCCACCAACTGCAAATATGATCTTGCTGGCTTGGCATGCCAGGAGTTGCAGTTTGGACAGCATTTGCCCTTCCCTCTGACATTGCTCTTTTTTCTCCAAAACGGACAACTTGGTTCCGGATTGCACTACTTAAAGCTGCAACCAAGGACTCCTATATAACATTGTTCCTCATAAGAAAGAAGAGAAGCTGATATCGTCCCAAACTGCTCGGTTTTTTTGTGTGTATATAGTGTACATCCTGTCCTACAATCTCTCTGTAGTGTTATAACCAGAATTCAGGATTCTCTCTATTTTGGAGGAAAGATTTTTTGGGTGGATAGTTTCTCCTTTTTGCTTCTCTTGCACTCTTTGAACAGGGTCAGCATTCAGATGTGGCAAGTTTCTTTGGGGACATTTCTTTCAACGTGGTTTTATTTGCATTACTAATATAATAATAAGAATTACATAGAGTTGGATCCAGGTCAATGCATTTGAGTTTGGCTGTGGATCTCTCTCTCTCTCTCTCTCTCTCTCTCTCTCTCTCTCTCTCACACACACACACACACACACAGAGAGAGACCTCTTTGGAGAGAGGCTGTGATTCAGCTTTTGAGGCCTGTTATTATTAAACTCCTCCCTCTGAGCAGAACCTAGTCCCAAAGAGAGAAGGAGAGAAGCTGGCTGTAGGACCCGAGGTCAGTGCTCTGTTGGTACTGAAAGCAGATCAGATTAAAATCTTCCTGCTCTTTTTCTCCAGATCACAGCCTTGGCAGCCATGTCTCGGCCCCTCACCGACCAGGAGAAGCGTAAACAGATCAGCATTCGTGGCATTGTTGGAGTGGAGAATGTGGCCGAGCTGAAAAAGGGCTTTAACCGGCATCTACATTTTACCCTTGTTAAGGACCGCAATGTAGCCACCCCTCGTGACTACTACTTTGCCCTGGCCCACACTGTACGGGATCACCTGGTGGGCAGGTGGATCCGCACCCAGCAGTACTACTATGAAAAGGACCCCAAGGTGAGACAAATAAAGTGGGAGAGATTGGGAAGCAAAAAAATTCATTGGTTAGCATAAATGGTCAAGCATTTTATGTAAGTCTTCATTCAGCATGGAAAACATTCTATGGGACTCTTGGGCAGCACACTCAGCCATGTTCTGTGAGTGATATTTAGAAGGAAGAAGAACCTTGACCCAAATCAATAAAATGAGAGTTGAAAATGAGATTTGGAGAAGGCAAATAAGAATTTTTCTTCCCACGCTTTGGAAAGGAAAAAAGAGTTCTTCATACAAGACAGAATCGATAAATCAGTCATGTTTCAAACATCTGATGTTCACCAGATTAGAAGACTTTTAAAAGATATTAGCCTGTGGTCCCCTCAATGTGGAGGGTTTACAACTGAAAATAACTTGCAGCTTTGGCCCTATTGGCCAGGAATTCTGGGAGTTGTAGTTTCATCTCAACTGGGGGTGGGGGTGACTGCAAAGGCTGGTAACTAGAAAAAGACACACATTCAGAAACAGTATATGTTCGAATAGCATTTTTTTTAGAAGAACAAGCCATGTCTTGTAAATTTCTTAGAAATACCTATGCAAGTGCCTGTTTATTTGTTTGTTTGCTTGTTTAATCATATCAGATGAACTCAATCTGATTAAATGAGATTCCCATGTAGACAGAAATTCCTTATCTGTTCAACTGATAGAGAACACGGTTACTCTAAGCTTTTTGTTTTCTTTCCTTGCCTAAGTGATCAAAGGAATTAATCCTTCAAAACGAAGAACGTGTTATTACTTGTATTTTTTTAAAAAAATGATAACATCACACAAAAACACTGGCCTACCTAGAAGGAAAAAATAAGGCAGGAATGTATCCTTTGTTGTAATTTATTTATATATATATATGCCAGAAAAGGATGTTTCTACAGCAGGCAGCAAAGGCGCTGCTCCTTTTTCATCCGATTAAGTGTTGATGCCACTCTTTAGGGAATTCAAGGAGAGCCAATGTACATACAATACAGCAGGTATACATAGATAACAACTCAGTGAATCAGAGAAACTGTGTATTTGAAATTGGCTTTAGCAAATTTACCCTCAGAATTAAAATGCGGATTTTGGATTGATTCTGTAGTCTCCTAGTTCCTAATATACAGCCGAACAATATACTGAGAGAGTCAATCGGTAGGTTCTGGAGGGACTGAGGTAAAAAATTGTTAAGGCAAAAAAGGAAAGAAGGTGAGATTATATCACATACTAGGTGGAACTAAGATTTTTTTGAGGAGGAGAGTTCACCTTGGTTTTATGGGGAGGGTAAGTTCCTTATTTTATTTCAAAATCTATATTGGGGGGTGCAAGGGGCTCATCCTTGTCTTTCATCTGTCATCTTTGAACTGAATCTTCAGGACACCTACACATTTAAGTAAGTTAAGTTTGATCAAACCATACATTTGTTAAAAGGCCTGGCCTGGCTCCTTTATTTACTTCAGTTAGGCCAGCCAAATCCATAACAGAAAGATTACTGTTGAGTATTTGGCTCCTGAGGTGATTTTTTTTTAAAAAAAAATGTTTGCTTACTAAAGCGTGAAAAAGCAAAGCTAGCTAGGGAAATACTTTTGGAGTGCTACACACGGGGCTGGGAATGAATGAATTACCTTTGGGTTTGCTAGGCTAATGTGAAAGTGATGTAGAATCATCTGGGCCAAAGGTGAGTTTGAGTCAATTTCACAATCTGGTAATAGTCTGTCAAGTGAATCTGTGTCCTTTCTAGATAAAGTCCAGCATTCTTTGTACCCATCCTAGAAAGAAAAAAAAAGCAAGTCCTCAAGTGGACCATAGAAATTCTGAAATACACCCAGGAGAATAAAAAGCCATCCTGTACTGTCTTATTGATCTAGCCCACTGCTAACTACTGTGCCCCAGTATCAATGGTTCTGCAGAGCTTCTGGATGAGAAGACTACATATTCCCCATAATCTGCTATCTGAACCTTTCCAGGGCTTCTTGCAGACCTTGAAAGCTGCAACCCTCAGAGACTGCAGAGATTATTAGATAATTATTGCATGTAATAGTTAATACAACAAATAGTTAATGCAATAATTATTGCATGTAATAGTTAATACAACAATACATAATTACATGGCTGTAATTATATTAACTAGATTGCATATTGCTTACATTGAATTGCAATTCAAACATTGTCCCAGCCATATAGACTATTGTTTTTAGAGAAGACCTCCAGCATGCTACTCAGAAGCTGAGTGAAAAATAGAAACTTGGCATCTGAAGAGGTTTTGCACCCTGAGATGGACCCTGAGATGCTCTGCATTCTTTTGACTTAAACTCTTTGGGGTTCCATCGATTGAGATCATTCCAAGGCATTGTTTTATTGGTGGTTTTTTTGTTTTTTGTTTTGTTTTGCTTGTTGAAGGACCTTCTCTTTAGGTTCCTTCAAATGTGGACAGGTTGCAATCATGGAATCAGGAGCCCCAGGCTGAGTGAGATTTTATTATATACTCTGTTTTTTTCTCCCAGAGAATCTACTACCTTTCCTTGGAATTTTACATGGGCCGGACCTTGCAAAATACCATGATCAACCTAGGACTACAGAATGCCTGTGATGAGGCAATTTATCAGGTAAAGAAAGAAAACTGCCAGTCATGTCCTTCTGAAGGTGCAAGGGATCCTCTCTCTGATAAATCACCTATTCTGCAATCTGTCTAGTTGAGATATAGATATGGTTGTTCCAGTTTTCACTAGATTATAGTCTAGCTGGAGGACATGACGAAGTAAAATTTTCTTGAGCACCCTGGATCAACCAACACTCTCCCAATGTATTTGGTCTGCATCTCCCTTAATTCCCAGGCACCAATAGAAGTAATATAGATAGAATATAGAAATTGTTATAAGAACAGAATATAGGATAAAAGTAATAGGAAGCACTCACATATAGATTTGCTAAGTTTCACATCTCGATTTTATATTTTTATATCACAAAATAAAACATCTTCCCATGTTTTATCCTAGTATAACATCTTATAGAAGATATAAAGAATCCACCAAGGAGCCAGTGGTTTTATGTATCTCTTGATTCTGAGTTAATATAATAATAATAATAATAATAATAGTAAAGTTGGAAGGAACCTTGGAGGTCATCTAGTCCAACCCCCTGCTCAGGCAGGAAACCCTATACCATTTCAGACAAATGGTTGTCCAGTCTCTTCTTAAAAGCCTCCAGTGTTGGAGCATTCACCGCTTCTGGAGGCAGGTTGTTCCACTGGTTAATTGTTCTAACTGTCAGGAAGTTTCTCCTTAGTTCTAGGTTGCTTCTCTCCTTGATTAGTTTCCACCCGTTGCTTCTTGTCGTGCCTTGAGGTGCCTTGGAAAATAGCTTGACACCCTCTTCCAATATAATTGGCTGTGATTTAAAAAAAGAACCCATGATGAGTACCTATGAGATTCATGCCAACTCAGATGTGACATTTTCAGCTGATGGTGGATCTGCTATCATCTCTTCATTTATTTTCATTTCATTTCATTTATTTCATTTATACCCCGCCCTTCTCCCGGAGGACTCAGGGCGGCTTACAGCCAGTATAAAACAATCCCACATAAATACCAAATACAAATCTAAAATAATTAAAAATAAATATTTGAATTGGCCGCTCTATTAAAATTTTGTTAAAACCAATTAAAATACCCCCTAGGCCAGTCCTGCCTGCTGAAACAGCCAAGT